GGGAGGGGGTCGGAGCCGGGCACGCATCATTGTGATAATCACAACGGGAGTCGTATTTGACCGCGAGGGAGGGGGGGGGTCGTATTTGTCTTCAAGAGGAATTTGCGGCGTTGGGAAAAAACTTTTCACGGTTGTTGGCTTTTTGCGGTTTTTTTGCATTTCACTGGTGTTATATACCTCCTAGTTGGCGGCACTGCCGAAGATTCATACAACTACCATTTCCGATACGAAATTAGTTCCTTCCCACCCCCCCCCCCGCTCGTCGATAGCAAAATTTTTGGCTAAAAGCTAAGAAATTTCCTGGAAATTCCAAAAAAAGTGGTAAGAAGTTGGGACAGTGGTAGGTAGAGTGGGGAGGGGGGGGGTCGCACGATGGAACTGGGGAGGGGTTGTATCTCTCAGGAATTCATCACAACGCGATGGTGTGCCCTGGGCCGGATGGGCCGCAATGTTGTCGCTTATTCACGTCAACACTTGCTTAAGGAAGGGCTGGCGCCACGCCTAACCGAGATATCTAACACTCAGCGCACGCAGTTAACATTAGTATACCTGCAGCCGTATCTACCGGAGGGGTTGTTAGCATGAAGCTCACGGGGAAATCGTCCCAACCGCTCCATTTACTCGTCCACCGCCGCGCTAGTAATTTGCCGCGTAGGCCTTTTCGCGAAGCCTTCAGATACCCTACATTTTATTTTTTCCCCACATTCTCGCAGATACCATACATTTTATTTTTTCACCATTCTCCACTACTTAATTACCCCTGTTATCATGTTAGACTGAGTATTAAATTATCGTGTCGTTCAATTACACGTCATTATAATTATTTTCAAGTGTCTCCACTCAGTCAAATATCTGGGACGGTAGTAATGTGGCACAAACTGGCAGTTTACAGGTAACCATCAGCTCGCGTTAAGGTCGAGGTAGAACAATTGCCACATATGCTATAGAGTGCCTCCCGACTGCCCAAAACGCCTATTCCTAGGGACTTTATTGAAAAAGGTCGAGGTTAGGTGGTCGTTACCACGACCTGAGGTGAACATTGCTATCCTCCGTTGAAGTGCGACGTCATAACGTCGCACTTGAGTTCTCAACCACGAGGGTGGAGAGAGTGGGAGAGATGACGCGAAACGGAGAGACGCAGATAGTCGCCGTTCTATGCAGTGAAAAGTCCTCCAGAGGACTTTTCAAAGATGGCCATCTCTGTGGTGCGAGTTGGGGGTTTCTTCAACATTTCCAAGTCCAGAAATGCTTAGATCACAGGTCTAGGTATAGCGGGGAGGACAAAAGTAAGTGGTAGGGTTGATGGCCCGGGGAATGTGAATCGAGATATGAGGAGGGCGTGGCCATCCATTGCATAGTTGAAGAGAAATTTTGGAAAAAGTGAAATATTTTCTAGTAAAACGGGTATAAGGGGTGAGTAGCGAAAAATGCAAATATCATATAAAGATGTGCTATTAGAATATGAATTGATATAGCCGGTTACTCCGATTCGACTAGGGGGATTTGAGGGGGAAAAATTAGAGAAAAAAAATCAAAATTTCTCCTTGCATAACTATGTAGATCAAGAGATCAAGTAAGTCAGTATCATCCGATATGTCCTAGGTCGAGATGAATCGGAATGGTTAGAGTGGGGGCGATTGTAAAATTTTAGAGTACCCCAAACTTGGGTAATTAAGTTAATGCCTTGCCAGCATCGACAATGCCTGCTCGTACAATGTACCGGCTGTTTCGGCTCGCGGATTGGCGAAACGGGCCACAAATGAACATGTGATATCTATGGATATTCTAGAAGTGGGCGGAGCATGGAATAGGGACCATTCGGTAGAGGTCTTCGTGCAAAAGTTACAAAAAGAGCCACTTCAAACAAAATTTTTAAGTAGTTTGAAAAAGAAAAGTCCATAACTGTTTGCCATGTTCAGTCATTGCTTGTTACCAGGGACCACCGCCAAGTCAGCATACTAGTGATAGCGTAGCGACAAATTATGCGCGCTACCACTTGCATGGTGACGAGATCGATACCGACCGCCGAGCGAAGTTTTGCAAATAGCCTAGCGAAGCTCGTTGTTTCCAGCGTGGTTGCCTCGCTCATACGTCGCTCGTTGTTCTGCATAACCGCGAGCAACTCATCACACTGCGAGATATAGGTTACTACCGTCCCAGGAATCACTCATACATCAGAATGCATCAGAAATTGCAGTGAAAGACAACACTATCACTGAGTACATTGGCTCATTAACATTATTTTTTTTGTCTATGTACCCAACAATTAAGCAACATACCTTGTTATATCCATATAATATCTCGTAACCGAGTTTATTCATCAACTCCAAGGTTCTAGGCACATGCCTCATGAACATCAATCGTGAAGTTGAATCAAAAGCCAGGATATCGATTGAGTAGCGCTTTGGCTTTTCTTTGATGACTGACTGCTTTTTCCGTGGTCCACCGAATTTGTCAAACGATTCCGTGTCCTCCGTTAGAAAAATCGGAAATGGGTGAGGTTCATACGTCTACTTGTGTTTTCAGAGGGCTATTTTAATATAACCTTGTTTTTCTCTTTATGCAAATCTCTCATCCCTGCAAAAGATTTCTGAAATACTTGTTTATCCTTTTGATGGCAACGAATGTAAAAAGCATCAGCGTTGACGAAGAATCGAGCATTCTCTGGTGCCTGAAATTAGGTACGTGCCGGTTGTGACTTCTAAACATCTCGAAAAGGGAAATGGAATACTGAAAATTGTGAAGCCACGATGATATTTATGTTTACTTAATAATGTCAGCAGGTAGGGGTGCATTGAAGCAGGTCTGCATAAGAAGGCATTGCAAGCAGGGCGAAATTTTCGCAAAATGCGCGCTACCCCTCTCCCCTCACCCAAAACTTCATCTTCTGGTACGACCTCCTTTCGCATCCTGCGCATC